GGGCTCTCCACAAGGCCCTGAAGGAGAGCGCCGGGGGGACTGAGGGGTTGGGGGCAGGGGGCTGGTTTCGGGGGGCTCAGGCGACCGCCTCTCTCTCTGGCAGGTGAAGCGGGAGCTGGGGGAGAACACACCGCTGCTGTCAGACGAGGAGCTGATGGGGCTGTCAGTGCGGGAGCTCAACCACCACCTGCGGGGCCTCTCCAAGGAGGAGGTGGCGAGGCTGAAGCAGCGCCGGCGGACGCTGAAGAACCGGGGTTACGCCGCCAGCTGCCGGGTGAAGCGCGTCTGCCAGAAGGAAGAGCTGCAGAAGCAGAAGATGGAGCTGGAGTGGGAAGTGGACAAGCTGGCCCGGGAGAATGCCGCCATGCGCCTGGAGCTCGACACCCTCCGCGGCAAGTACGAGGCCCTGCAGGGTTTTGCCCGCACCGTGGCCGCCCACGGGCCCCCCGCCAAGGTGGCCACTGCCAGCGTCATCACCATCGTCAAGTCCGGTGCCAACCAGGCCGCCTATTCCTAGTGTCGGCCTCTGTCCCCCGGCGGGGCATGGGCCCCCCGGGGCACCTTCCCCCATGAATCCCCTCCCGTACCCTCCCTGACCTCCTTCCCACCAGGACCTGTGCCTGAAATCCTCCTTCTCCCATCCCTTGACCTCCAGCTCCTCTGTGTAGGGAGAGCTGCTGCAGTGTGGGGGCTGGGGTGGAGGACAGGACCCCACCGGTGGCCCCCACAACCTCCTCCCCTTTGACCCAGCCCTGTCCTCTGCTGCAGCCCCCCTGGCTGGGCACCCCTCACCCTGGGGGGTGCAGGCAGGAGAGGGTGAGCCTGCGCAGGCAGCAGTGGGGAAGCATCTGATGGCTCCAAGCTGGCAGGAAAACACCAGGTGCCTCTTTTTTGAGGGGAGGGCACAGGAGAGCTGAGTGTGGGCCAGACGCTCCCAGGAGCATGTGCCAGGGAGGGAAATGGGGAGAGAAGTTTTGCAGCAAGGGGCAGAAGGGATACGACTGAGAGGGGGGGTTGGCATCAGCCCTGCAACTTGGACCATGGCTGGAGCAGGGAGGGAGGTGGCAGCATGGCTGGAGCCTCTGGGGATGGAGATGGCGAGGGAAGATGGCAGGTCAGAGGGGGAGAGAAAGTGGCTGCAGGTTGGTGCCTGGTAAGGGTGAGCAGGATGGGAAAGTGCCGTGGCAGCCTGTGGCTGGTGACGGAGAAGGGACCCTCGAGCAGGGGAGAGCTGGGGGACGTGAGCGGGTCAGCCCAGGCTGTCGTACGCAAAGGGGAGAAGCAGTGGTGCTGTTTTCTGTCTCTCCATCACGCACATCCTTCACACCTCTTCCTGCCTATGGGACGCTCAGCCTGGCCGGCCGGGTGTCTCTAAAAGGCAGCGGCACCGGCAGGAAGGAAGCGGAGGCAGCTGTAGCAGAGATAAACGCTGTTTTGCTCAGCACAGGCTGGCTTGTACAGACCCACCAAGTGCTCCCTGGCGCCCCACCACCTACAAAGCCTGTGGAAAGGTGCTCCTGGCCCCCAAGAGCCAGAGCTGTGGAGGCAGAGAGAGAGGTGGAGGTGCAGGAGGTGGGAAGCAGGGGTGGAGAGCATCCCTGCTCCTGGGAGCTGCCTGGCAGGCAGGTAGGCTCCTCCCTTTGTTTTTCCTCCAGCTTGGATACTGGTGTGGGACAACCAGCTCTTCAGCAGGCTGAAATGCTGGAGAAGAGTTGGGTTTGCTAAATACAGGCAGCAAGGGGGAGGTAACAGGAGGCAGACCCTTGGCATTGTCTGCTGTAGGTGATCCCCCCCCCCATTCTGCCCCTGCCTGGATATTGCCACGCCAGCCGCCCTCGGCTGCAGCCTCCATCCCTCCCCGGACAGAGGTGCCTGATGCTCGTGGAGGGGGCACTGTGGTTAGCATCCCCCCACCCCAACTCCTCTTGGGTTTATTTATTGCACGAATGTAAGTTATTTTCACGTCCTCTTTGCCATTCCGCCTCTCGGCACAGCCAGGATGTTGGTACAGAGCTGTACTTTATATTTTATATATGCAAATCACATTTTATCTTATACTTATATAGAGCAAAAAAATACTTATTTATTTTCTGACTTACAGTATGTGTCTTACCTGACTCCTCTGTATTTTGTAGACTTTACAAATAAAGCAAGTTCTTTTTTTTCCACAGCGAGAGTGTGTTTGGTCATTCCTGAACTTCAGGACAGAGCTGTGTCTCAGTGAGACCAGGTCTTCTAGCTCCCTCTAGCTTTGCTGCAGGACATGTTCAAGAATGTGTCCAAAAAAGATGGGATGAGGGACAGCTCATGACTTTTTAGAACAAACACAGATTTATAGTCTCTGGAAGAAAAGGGGCTTAGTAAGCAAGCTTAATGCTGAACATCAGCCCCCAAAGTGCTTGCTTTCAGGAGCAGTTCAGCTGTGATGAATCAGCTTTTCCTAGGAAAGATAATGCTTTTCACTAGAAAAACTCCCTCAGACCTGATGCAGGGCAAGAGGCAGGTGCAATCAGGGCAGCTGTACCCAAAAACTTCCCTGCCAAGCGACCTCACTGCCTGACTCGGGAACAGTGAGGAGGAAAGCAGGGAGCTTGTGTCTGTGGGTGGCAGGAGAAGGGGAAGGAAGTATGGCAGGCGCCTTACGTGGAGGTGAAGCCAAACCTCCTCCCTGGGGAAAAGCCACCCTTCCTCAGAGCCGAGGTAGAAGCAATGAGCATGTTCCCCTAACGCCCAGTGCTCACGTGGTGGTTCTGGGTTTTACATTCACGTTCCCTTTTGCCACTGCAAACTGCCCCAGCCCCACCACCACCCCTCAC